CATCCCACTGTAGTGCAAAATGGCACAGTCTACATGAGAGTGGCAACTCTAAATTCAGAAGCAGTGCAGCATTGTTACCACACATCACAGGAAGCTGCATTAGGTGACAGGTTTAAACGGTATTTGTGGGACTTCAGAGAGGGACAGAAAACTGTAAGTGGTGATATAGTGCCGTTATAAATAAATGCAATCAGAAATCTTATAGGTTCCCTTTAAGCAAATTGTATTTTTGCAGTATATTTTTCTTCCTAATGTTGACTCTCTGTAAATACATGAAAATATGTACTTTGCTGATTAATTTAGTGGCTCTCCTCTCATTTGATCCTTCGCGGCTCAGTCACGAACAGAGGGGCGGCACAACTTTTCTTCTGGATCCCCGCTGCTCTCCTCCATCTGTATGCAGCGGGCATCTGAGGAGAAATGAAGCACTTCAGCCAGGCAGGGTAGGGCAGAGGATGGAGCAGCTGTCGCAGCAGCATGGCCGACGACCGTTGAGAGAGAGAGAGAGAGCCACTCGGCCAGGATCTGACAGCCAGCGGGGACACATATCGGGACACATAGAACTATGTGTCCCCAGTTATGAATGAACAAGAAGTGCTTTAAATCACTTCCTGCTCATTCATGAGATTCTGAATGGGTAGTAGCACTCAGTACAGAGGCTCCTCCGCATTCAGAAACTGGTTGATAGAAAATATTTTCTGAATGAATGGGAAGCCTCTGTACTTTTCCACTCCTTTAGAACAGAGTCTGCATAAAAAGAGATTGAGCACTCTGTGTTTAAAATGAAAATATCAGGGTGCTATTTGGACCCCTAATATTTCCAGAGAACCCCCCCAACAGTAAACAAAAATGAAAATGTAAAAAATAATAAAAAATAAATTTTAAATAACATCCTGGAGGCAGGGCACCTGACATCCCATGGCGCCGCGCTTGATGACGTTGCACGCCTGCTGGGGGGAGTGGCACTTTTTTTGTTCTTGCCTTGGGCGCAAAAGGAGCTAGCTACGGCTCTGTTGGGTCTTACAAATTAATGTTCTGGCATTCAAGTGTGTATATATCTTCTATCAGAAATTTAGGAAATATGTAAGAATGTCAATTTCTGGACCTTAAAATGGGGGACGCGGCTTTAAAAAAATAGACGTGGTTTCTTTTTTTATCCGGAGAATCTGAGGTGGATTAGGATGGATTTGGGGTGTAATAAAGATGAAATATAGTCAGATTAAAAGAGAAAGGTAATATTTTAAATCAAGTAGCTGGTAATATTACAAAGTACAAGCAGTTCTTATTTGTTACGACTTTCTCTGCCTTAGAGGAACAGCTAATGCTTGGTCCCAATACATCATGTTGATTGAAAGCACAGTTTTCATAAACCAGGAAAAGCTCCACTGAATCGCTGAAACGGAGTTGTTTGTTTCTGTGTGTTTTGTTTGAAAGGATGCACTTCCAGAATATCACAAATTAAAATAGCTCCTCATGGTCCTGAAAAAGCCACAGCTTAAAATTATTTTCTCAGCAACTAGCGTTGTAGTTATTAAGTAAAGGAATGCACGGAAATATTACTTTTTAGAGTTCTACTTTAACACTAAACTCCAGGCAAACAACTATGTACACAGATAAAATTCATATACGAGAGCTGTTTTATCTGCTGAATGATTTGTTTTGTGTCATACATTTTTGAGATTTACACAGCCAGCCTTGAGACCTGACTTTTTCTCTGCTGCAAGTAAGCAGTATAACTAGGTCGTGTCCCTGCCCCCAGCCTGTGACTGGACAGTGGAGGAGAAGCAGTAACCTGAGCTTATCTCTGTGCTCTCTCCTCATGTCAGCATGTTCATTGTTAGCACATTAGCCCTATAACACAATTGATTGGCTCCTGATTTTACTTTCCCCAGTTTGAGCTCTACTGTACGAGTGATTGCAAGAGTGCCAAGTCAAGTTCAGGTAGTTTGCTTTTACAAATACTAGGGATGTACAGATACTAGTATCCGTGTTGATACAGAGTATTTGGGCGAGTACTCGGCCAAATGCTCGCCATGCCTACCCTGATACCGGAACTTATCGGTATCTGGAGAGGCATGGGGAGCAGAGGTATCAGGAAACCGGGTGATGAGTCATTACACGCTACCCAGCTTCCTGTTTGGCTGGGAAGCTAGCCCCATGCTCCCTCATCACCAGGGAGCTGGCTTCCTGGCCAATCAGGAAGCCGGGGACAGGTAATCACTCGCCCCACGGCTTACTGATTGGCTGGTAAGCCGGTTCCATAATCCCTCGTCACATGGTCTTTGGAGGTTGCTAATTAGGAAGCAGGGCACCATGTAATTACTCGCCGCCTGGCCTCCTGATTGGTGGGAAAGCTGGCCAATCAGGAAGCCAGGCGTTGAGTCATTATGCACCCCCCAGCTTCCTGATTGGCCAGAAAGCTGGCTCCATGCTTCCTCATCACCTAGTAATGAGGAACCATGGAGACAGCTAATCAGAAAGCCGGGCGGCGAGTCATCACACACCGCCTGACTTTCTTAATGGGACTTCCAGTATCAGTATTCAGTATCGGCGAGTACAGAAAAAAAATATCGGTATTCGATACCAAAAAAACGGTATCAATGCATCCTTAGCAAATACTGTTAAACCTAACTCTATGCTCCAGCCAGCCCCCATCACACACAAATCACCTCCTTCCTCTTTGTCCCCCCCCCCGCTAGTATTTTTTGTGGGGGTGGGAGTCTTCAGGCTTGTCAGGTGGCGCTGCACTGTCCTCGTCCTCTTTGCCTCTTCCCAATGCAGGGTAGTCCTTAATAAGGCAGAGAGCAGCACTGAGGTAATGACGTCAGCACTGCTTTCTGCACCAGTACACTGTGAAAAGAAAGATTTTTAAATGAACGCATACTTGCATGAATTTGTGTTATCTGCCTGGAGTTCAGCTTTAAATATGTCCTAGTTCTATATATGTCTACATATTTAATAGTGTGATGAAAGGTAAGAGGGGAAACCATGAAACCATATACTCCCTCTTGAGTTGCAAAGGATCGGAGGGAATAGTGCTCTAAACATCCATTTTCACATTTTATTATGCCTTGTGTTTTTGTGTTACAATTGTATCTTTTGTAAATCTGCTGCAACTAAGATTCTTATAGATTGTAGAGTCAATACATTTTGTGAATCATTTAAATAATTGTCCAATTTTTTGTAATCAACTGATTTGCTTAGCCTTACACATATACAGTGTGGTGGTGTTTTGACATATAATATGTTTCCAAATCTTAATAGCCTAATAAATTTAGAAATTTCTATTGTTACGACCTTTTGTTATGTAAATGTGACATATCACTTTAAAATGAACGACTCTTTATGAGATTAATTGTATGCAATAAATATCTTCAGTGCTCTCTGCTTCATCTGCTTATGCTGTCTCTGCTGTTTCTTTACAGAATGATTGAGGACAGCGGAAAAAGGGCGAATAACATGGCCGACAAAAGGCAGTTGTTTGCAGAAATGCGTAAGTATTGCCATTTATTATACTGAAAGTACGGCAGGCTAATTTTTGTTTAAAATCCAAAATATTACTGCAATCATTTTTATGGTTACAGAAACTGGGTTTTCATATTTATACGTTCGTAGTATCAATAGAAAGCTGTAGAGGGGCAAGCCACTCGAAAGATAATGGTGAGCTCCAATGAATTAACTGACTTTTTGAAAGTTTCAGGTAGTGCAGGACTAAAATCTCCCTTCCTGAATTTCTTGCTCTTTGTCTTACTCCTCCTGCTGTATTTTCTTTATTTAAATAATAAGACCCCCAAAAGGAAGAGAGACCCCCTTATAATAGAAGTAGCCGTGGAGCATTGACCTCATGCAGAGAGAGGTACAAACAACTAAATATGCAGTTCATATAATGAACTTTGCAAAAATCTCTATTTCTGTTAAGCCACTCTTGTGATTTACAAACTCCTGTGACATTATATAGCTGGTAGGCTAAGCTGACCCTGACCTTTTAGGAAAAAGTTTCAAGGTTAAATCTTGCAGTTACCAGATACGTTTGTCTACCTCCACATGGACCTTTTAACGTTTTTAATGAATGAACCCATTAAATGATTTTCAGGTCTCAGGGGACCCTACGCCCAACTAAAAATTGTTAAATATACAGCTTGTGGAAAATTAGCATCATAAATAACTTGTACAACACTTTAAATAAAATAAAATTTTTAGTCTTTGCACATGTCTAGTAATATGTGTGCGTGAGTGAGTGAAAATAGAAAAAGAGATTGAGGACACAGAGTCCTCTGCAGATACAGGTGGAGGAGAGCAGCGGGGATCAGAGGAGAAAAATCCTTTATTCCGACTTGCCCAGCTCGGCTCACTCCTGCCTTTGGTTTGTCCACTAACGCGTTTCACCATTCCTAGGGCTTAGTCATAGAACAGGGATGGCCAAACTCCGGCCCTCCAGCTGTGGTGAAACAACAAATCCCATGAAGCATCTCTCTCCAGGAGTGATGTCTGTGGCTGTGAGAATCTTGCACAGCCTCATGGGATTTATAGTTCCACCACATCTGGAGGGCCGCAGTTTGGCCATCCCTGTCATAGAACATATTGTTTTGGCACATTTGTGACGCATCAGCATAGGCCATCCCATTCATTTCAGTGGGCTGCCCTACTACAAAGGCAGCAGAGAAAATCATGCAGCAGTTTAAGCTGATATCATCCCCTTTTTTTGTTGATGGTGTGTTTTGCACACACGCCAAGACACATGCTTGCCATGCTTAGGCTGCGTTTACAAATAATGGCACCTCAGGCATAGTACGGAAGTGTGAATGCAGCCTGACTCTCCCATCCCTAAATCTTAATAGCCTAATAAATTTAGAAATTTCTATTGTTACGACCTTTTGTTATGTAAATGTGACATATCACTTTAAAATGAACGACTCTTTATGAGATTAATTGTATGCAATAAATATCTTCAGTGCTCTCTGCTTCATCTGCTTATGCTGTCTCTGCTGTTTCTTTACAGAATGATTGAGGACAGCGGAAAAAGGGCGAATAACATGGCCGACAAAAGGCAGTTGTTTGCAGAAATGCGTAAGTATTGCCATTTATTATACTGAAAGTACGGCAGGCTAATTTTTGTTTAAAATCCAAAATATTACTGCAATCATTTTTATGGTTACAGAAACTGGGTTTTCATATTTATACGTTCGTAGTATCAATAGAAAGCTGTAGAGGGGCAAGCCACTCGAAAGATAATGGTGAGCTCCAATGAATTAACTGACTTTTTGAAAGTTTCAGGTAGTGCAGGACTAAAATCTCCCTTCCTGAATTTCTTGCTCTTTGTCTTACTCCTCCTGCTGTATTTTCTTTATTTAAATAATAAGACCCCCAAAAGGAAGAGAGACCCCCTTATAATAGAAGTAGCCGTGGAGCATTGACCTCATGCAGAGAGAGGTACAAACAACTAAATATGCAGTTCATATAATGAACTTTGCAAAAATCTCTATTTCTGTTAAGCCACTCTTGTGATTTACAAACTCCTGTGACATTATATAGCTGGTAGGCTAAGCTGACCCTGACCTTTTAGGAAAAAGTTTCAAGGTTAAATCTTGCAGTTACCAGATACGTTTGTCTACCTCCACATGGACCTTTTAACGTTTTTAATGAATGAACCCATTAAATGATTTTCAGGTCTCAGGGGACCCTACGCCCAACTAAAAATTGTTAAATATACAGCTTGTGGAAAATTAGCATCATAAATAACTTGTACAACACTTTAAATAAAATAAAATTTTTAGTCTTTGCACATGTCTAGTAATATGTGTGCGTGAGTGAGTGAAAATAGAAAAAGAGATTGAGGACACAGAGTCCTCTGCAGATACAGGTGGAGGAGAGCAGCGGGGATCAGAGGAGAAAAATCCTTTATTCCGACTTGCCCAGCTCGGCTCACTCCTGCCTTTGGTTTGTCCACTAACGCGTTTCACCATTCCTAGGGCTTAGTCATAGAACAGGGATGGCCAAACTCCGGCCCTCCAGCTGTGGTGAAACAACAAATCCCATGAAGCATCTCTCTCCAGGAGTGATGTCTGTGGCTGTGAGAATCTTGCACAGCCTCATGGGATTTATAGTTCCACCACATCTGGAGGGCCGCAGTTTGGCCATCCCTGTCATAGAACATATTGTTTTGGCACATTTGTGACGCATCAGCATAGGCCATCCCATTCATTTCAGTGGGCTGCCCTACTACAAAGGCAGCAGAGAAAATCATGCAGCAGTTTAAGCTGATATCATCCCCTTTTTTTGTTGATGGTGTGTTTTGCACACACGCCAAGACACATGCTTGCCATGCTTAGGCTGCGTTTACAAATCCTTCTCTTAACATGTAGCCCACTCTTCACCTTATCTGACTAACTTTCTTACTTTTATTGCCCTGTGCGTGGTTTTGTTGGTGTTTTTTCTGAGATTTTTGTTTGCTAAAGCTTTGTGTCTGAGTACTGATTGGACGGAGAAGAAAGTAAAAGCTTGTCCTGAAAATTGAATGTTAAAGTATCACAGACAGTACTTGATTGTGTTACAGGTAACACATATAATCTGTCATTTGTAATCTGCATTCCAGCTCTGTTTGTTTTTGACCTGTAAACTGTTTAGGAAAAACCTTGCCACCTGTTGGCTAAAAGTGGTAAATATGAATTATTCACATCAAATATTACATATTTACCTAATTTAGAAGAAATCCAAATACATTTTATTTTTAGTACTCGGCATATAACTATATATTACAATTAAACTTGAAGCAGACATTACAAATTAAACGAATTAAAGCAGTTATATATTCATTAAAGGGTAAGTTCCTCAGTTTCAGCTGACATCTGCAATCCTCTCTACAGCAGCACTCAGATTGGGAGAGGGAGAGCCAGCAATAGTAGCCAGTCAGGCTCTTCTGTAGTCAGAAGACTGAGAGAACAGAGTGAATAGAGGGATGACCTTGTTAATGTGCTGCTGCTGCTTTGTCCATTTAGCAAACAAGTGGGTTATTTCTTCACCAGGTTTTTCAATTCCTGCAGGGACCTGATTGTTCTGCCTGGCAGGGGTTCCTGGATCACAGGACTGCCTGAACATTAATAATAATCCTTTAGCAGGGAAAACAATTCCCATATATTTATATTAGCTGTGTATTTACCTCCTTGCATGGGGTTTAGCATTAAAATAATATGTCATTTAAGTACACAGCTGGTAATAGCATTTGTAATGTATTTGGTATTACAGCTACGAAGAACTTCAGGGGAGATATTTTTGTAATGAGGAAAGCCTTAAAAATACATAATTTCTTCTTGTTAACATGTTCTGTGCCAGCTACCTGTAAACAACTACTACTACGGCCCTTAAAAAGAGTGTGTTGTTTGACTAGAGACTTGAAAAACACTATATCCCTTGCGCATTCAGAGCCCACGTTACTCTGTCAACACATTTCTGTTCCCAGGAGAAGAGCAACGAAAGGAATGGAAGGGAATACTAGCTAATTGATTATCAGGCTCTTGTTAGAGCAAGAACGAAAACTATTTGACAATACCGCATAATTACTGAATAATTGCCTTTAAAATGCACACAGTTGAAAAGATAAACTAGAATCATGTAAGTCAGAAGGTGAAAAAAATAACAAGGAATATTATTTCTCACAGTGCCTATCTCCAGTACAAATGGGATTTCCATAGAATACACCCAATATTTTTCAGTATATACAGTACTATGGTCATAAAGTTAATGAATTAATAAATCGTGTGCACTGCGCTACTGCTCCTAAACGTGCATAAACTTCCAGACAATGTGTACATTTTCATAAACGTACATTTTCAAACATAATAATAATCAATATGACAATATTCAATGATAGTCCTTAGTAAATTGGTGCTCTTGTGCAAAATCCACAATGTGACAATGATCCTCTGAAATAAAGTGCTCCAATCTCCCGATGTGTTAAGGTAACTGAGAACACACTCACCAGAGATCCATGACCATATAACTCAATAGTCAATAAACGTAATTGTGGTGAGTGTCTTTCATAGATGGGATATTCACTCTTCTGATGAAACAAATCCTCCTTTTCGTATTACACGGCAGGTGCCGCTCACTCAGCGAGGGGAGATATCTATGGTATAGCTTCAGTACGTGTCCTATCCTTTCCAACGCGTTTCGTCCCTTGCCTTTTTCCAGAAAAGGTTCACATACTGAGGTATAGCTAGGGCCTCCTTATATAGCATTAATAAAGTTAATGACACATGGAATCCTGTAGGACTTACAACCACATAAATTAATTCTGCATAATATAGTTTTGACACGCACATGGATGATAAAACTGGATAAAAGTAGTCACCTGATATTTATGCTTTTATTCACTCAACATCAGTTAAGAAAACCAATCATATTACATTATATATATATATATATA